AACCGTTCGGTTCAAAAATGCATTCCGAAAACCGAACCGGTTCAATACGAATACGTGTATCGTTACACCCCTAATATATATATATATATATATTAGGGCTGTGCAAAAATTAATTGCGATTAATCGCATCCAAAATAAAAGTCTGTGTTTACACAATATATTTGTGTGTGCTGTATATAATTATTTTGTATATATATAAATAGACACACATGCATGTATATATTTAAGAAAATATGTTATTCATATATACAATATTTATATTTATATAATATAGATTATGTACTTATATATATTTACAGAATTTAAGCACAAATAATTCTTAAATATATACATGCATGCATAGGTATTTATATATACAAAATAATTATATACAGCACACACAAATATATTATGTAAGCACAGACTTTTATTTTGGATGCCATTAATCGCAATTAATTTTTGCACAGCCCTAATATATATATTATGTGTTAATAGATGCTGTCACTGATACAGTTGATAGCACTTTAGTTGTAACCTGGACTTTCCCTTTAAATATCAGAAATCAGTCTTGTCTTAAGTTCTTGACTTTTTCTGTTGCTGTTAAAAGTGTGTGTCTTTCACCATATTACTTCACCTCAATGGACAGAGCACCTCAGCAAATTGGAGCAGGACTAACAGCTTTTGGGAAAAATACGAGCCACGTTCTTGGCAGGCTGTCATAATCCATTTCACAAGAGCTGTAATGGCAGGTGTTGTCCTTCAGTGAGCGCTGGGATCAATGTTTGACTTTGTGCTTGACCTCTGACATATGTTTGACCTCCGCAGCACTCTGGGGTCAACAGCTCGAACACACAGGTCTTGACGCTGTACAACGTGACAGAAGAAGAAAGTGGGGAGTATATATGTAAAGTGGCCAATTATATAGGCCAGGCCAACCAATCAGCGTGGCTCACCGTCGTTAAACACTCGCAAGGTAACACACGCCCCCTGCTACAGAGATACATCAGTGCAGAAAGAGGCAGAAGTAGATGTTAGACGGAGGTAGACACAGCGGTTAGGTGACCGGAACACATCTTCCCACTTCGTCGCTCTTTTTTGTTTTCTGTGGTGCCGTAAATGACGCCATGGAAAATCCCAGCAGAGCGACTGGAAGTGTTTTGGCTTGTGTTTACACTGGACGTTTCCTTCTCTCCATCTCTGTGCAGCGTTTTGCCCTCCTAATAAGGGTGTTTTTCATGCCCTCTGAAGATTACTTGCACTTCAAAAGCATTTCAGTGGCACCTTGAGAATGTGCCCGTCTAAATTCCTTCACCTCGCTCGAGGGCTTTTTCTTTACCTGCTATTTTTCTCTTCTGGATTGCTTTGTTTCCATGACTATTCAATTCTGAAGTCTCTCTTTCTTCCTCATAAATACCACAAATACCTCTGGCATTTCACAGTTTTTGATGTCACAGCTAAAAATAAAATATTTAAAGGTACAATATGCAGGATTTTTGCAGTAAAAATATCCAAAAAGCACTGGGCCAATGTTATATATTTGTTTAGTTGATTACTTACAATATCCCAAATGTTTCCAACTATTTGTAAATCATGAGAAAATTGTGATTTTTTAACCGAGGAAACGGGGCGTGTGACGTCTTATCCGCGTTATCCCCGGTTTCCGCCAGGTTTGACCTCGTACTGCAATAGTTACCATGGCGACAGACGTGGACAACTGGGTCGGTTATGCTCGTTATGCGTGCTCAACAGCGTGAGTGTCCCTAGCAGGTTTTGTTCAAACATTTTGGACCATGGCAGGCAGACTTTGAGACAAAAAGAAGACTAAAACGAAGATCAACATGCCGAGAGCTCCACGTCCGCGACTAACTTCGACTTGACAGAGACGCGAGTGTTGCGTGTGCTTTATTAGACAGGTGAGCAAATGTACATAAAGCTAATCAATGTTATATAGTTCAACATGATGAAAAGTTAGAATATGATCTGTATGTTATTCTCTAATGTTAATCTAGCTTAGCCTCATACAGCCAACAAACAACCTAACTAACAACATTCAACACACTCAAATGCTGTTTAGTGTGATAGTGAAACTGTTAGAGCAAGTGAAGCAGCGCTGCGTTAGCTCAAGTTTAATTCCTCTAATAATCTGACCTGTGTGAGTAATTCAACGTGTAGTTCGGTAGAATTAAATATCTTTATTCCTTTATATCCGCGGGACTCGCGTCGCGTGTGGTGCTGGTATACGTCTAGCAATTGCGCACTGCTTCATACTACAGTAATGTTAAAAACATCACTGTATTCACTCAACCATAAAAGATCCATCAGCTTAACAACAAGATCCATAATTAAGCTTAATGCGGAATATACGTCATCAATACACGCCTTTGTTATTGTAATGGTGCGTTCACACCGGACACGAATAGCGCGTCAGGCGCAAATGATTTCAATGTTAAGTCAATGCAAAGACGCGTTATGCGCGTAAAAAAAATCCTGTGGTGCGAATGAGGCATGGAGGCGTGGAATACGCCTCATTCACGCGAATTGAGCGTCTGGCGCGTAAGCGCGAATTATTTAGTTAGTGCCATTTGTGCATTCACGCGTTTGACGCGAATTTGCGTCTGCCGCCCGAGTTAAAAAATCTGAACTTTGGAGTGAATTCGCGCCGCGTTAACCAATCAGGAGCCTAGCTGCTTGCTCACGTGGTGAACTGTCTGGATGCTTCAATAAATTATTTTGTAATATGACTAAATGCGTGATGGGATTATGCACAACAAAGCAAATATTTGATCACTTAAAACATTATTTCTATAAACGAGACATGTTTGTTTTGTATTGAATGTTATTCATTCCATAGCTAGATTATATGAAATAGTATTATGATGTAAAGACAATCAACATATGTAAGTTCGTGTCTGGACGTGAGAGAGAAAACAAATCACAGGACAGGTTAATAACTTTTGAAGGCTGGCTCTATTTATCATCAAAACAAAAATAAATGACAGCTAGATTAGGTGGATGAGGGCGAGGGTGATCGTCGCTCCGATGCGGGACAACAGGTCATCAAACCCGGCACGGGACAGGCGGAAGTACCGCTGACAGCGGCCGTCATTCAGCGCAGCTCCTGGAGCGAGGAAATGGTGAAACTAGCCAAACGGAGCCAAACCTCCGAAGGGTCCGGATGAACACAGATATACGGTGGCGATGATCCCCACACCCTGTTCTGCTCTTCAGAGTAAATACAGAGCGGTGACTCTCTCGACGAATGCTCGGTCGACATAAAAACAATGGCCGCCAACGGATTTCGATTCTGACGCGCATAAATTTCGCTTCAAACTTTTGTTTTTACGTGCGTCAGTTTCACTCTTGACACGCGAATTAACACAAAGTGGTCAAGCGTCAAACTAGACGTGTCAGGGGCGAATTTGACGCGCTATTCGCGTCCGGTGTGAACACAGCATAAGAGGTTAGCGACCCCTGGTGGCGAAACAATCTTGCATATTGTACCTTTAACAGGCTCTCCTTTATTTTAAACTGCAGATGTAAATATAAGTCTCATAATTAAATATAAAGCATATATGTATTTATAAGGCCTTGACGTATTTATACTTGAAAAGCTTAAGGTAATTACTCTGTGACTGAAACTTTTGTTTGCATACGCTAATAAATAAGTAGTTCACTAACAGCTTGTGTTTTCATCAAGAATAACAATGACATTAGTCATTTTAATTATTGTATTAATAGTAATTGTAATTAATAATGAATAATTATAACATTTCCAGTACAATATCAAAAACAAATTTGAGAAATTGTACTAGTAACTTGCATTTTTTTGCGATTAATTGTGATTAATCGCGATTAATCATCTTAGGTACGATTAATTTTAAAAACACATGTAAATCAAGAATAACAATGACATTAGTCATTTTAATTATTGTAATTAATAATAAATAATTATAACAATTGCAGTACAATATAAAAATCAATTTGAGAAATTGTACTAGTAACTTGCATGTTTTTTTGCGATTAATTGTGATTAATCGCGATTAATCATCTTAGGTACGATTAATTTCAAAAACGCATGTAAATCAACAATAACAATGACATTAGTCATTTTAATTATTGAATAACAAGAATCAAGAATAACAATGACATTAGTCATTTTAATTATTGTATTAATAGTAATTGTAATTAATAATGAATAATTATAACAATTCCAATACAATATCAAAAACAAATTTGAGAAATTGTACTAGTAACTTGCATTTTTTGCGATTAATTGTGATTAATCGCGATTAATCATCTTAGGTACGATTAATTTCAAAAACACATGTAAATCAAGAATAACAATGACATTAGTCATTTTAATTATTGTATTAATAATAATTGTAATTAATAATGAATAATTATAACAATTGCAGTACAATATCAACATCAATTTGAGAAATTGTACTAGTAACTTGCATGTTTTTTGGCGATTAATTGTGATTAATCACGATTAATCATCTTAGGTACGATTAATTTCAAAAACAGTTTTAAACAGTCCCCATTTTTCCCAGCTTTTCCAGTCTACACAACACACTAGCTAAATGTTCGTAATAGTGCTGCTCAATGGGTATCATAGCATCGCCTGAAGCAAAGTGCCAGGACCTTTGCCATCCTTACTCGCTTTGACTATTCTTTCTAATCTCCCAGTCCAAATATGTGAGAGCGATTGTGTTCAGTCTCTGCTGGGTAATGTTCCATGTGGCCCATCTTGCCCTCGTCTTCAGGTGTTGGGTCTGTAGCCGCGTGCTCCGTTCTCCAGCTAACCACCAATCTGTCAGCAGGGTCATCGAAGGATCCACTTCCGACCATGGAGCTGTCCTGCTTTCCTTAAGGACGGTGAAGGGTGTTTCTCCAGCACCCTTCTCTCACTCCATGATGTCAAATCTTTACCGTTCTTCATCCGAAAACACTCTCTGTCTCTCTCATCTGGTGGGTTTTCCTGGAGCTCTCCGGCTTCATCCTGTGGTTCTTTTCTCTAGACGGCAGGCGTCAACACTACGGATAAGGAGATGGAGGTACTGCAGATCAGGAATGTGTCTTTAGAGGATTCTGGAGAGTACACCTGCTTGGCTGGGAACTCTATCGGCCACTCCCATCACTCTGCATGGTTGACTGTCTATAAAGGTATCTGTGGTTCTTGCGGTGCTCTTTTTGGTTGATGTTTCTCCCTGTCTAAAGCCCAAAGTATATTTTGTTGGTTACACGTAGACTAGAGTATGCGTTCTGTGCGTGTGGTGCAAATTTATTCGTCAGCATAGTGCGGGCCGTACTGGATGTGTGGATTATTCTAACCGCACATACAATGTAAGTTCAGCTCGAACATGTGCATTGAGGATTTTTGCACTAGTTAGTTTGTCCACAACACTCGGCCTGTTTGACCGCTAAGGTGGAACGTCAGCAAACTACTGGAGATGCAACAATGTTCGAATTCACAGTTCACTAGAGAAGGACTGAACGGGGATAGCACTTTCTATTGCACACGCTATTTACATACGCCAAGCGTTTACGTCAAGACTGAAGTATACTTTGGGCTTAACAGTGGCAGTTCACACTGTGGGTTGAATTTGGTCACATCATTGCTGTAGTTTCCATAAAAATCTGTTCAAAATGTTCTGTTGAAATTGACTTGCTTTTATTTTTGAGGTCCACGAAACCTCAAAATACCACCACGTTTTTCACTCAAAGTGGACATTCACTTTTTATTAATATGACTATATAGTGCAGACACTTCTAATATAGATGGGATGAGTGTCTAATATAGTGCAGTTATTAAGATTTGGGTGCAATTTGACAAATTAATTAAAGACCAAAAAAAAAAAAAACGGTATTTTGAGAGAATTTTAACGTGAATGTCATCAATATTTCTCTAAGCTATTAAAATAGCCTCAATGTCTCTCAACAGAACATGAGGGTTAAAGGAGTAGTTCACTTTTGAAAAAAAATTTTGCTGATAATTTACTCACCCCCATGTCATCCAAGATGTCCATGTCTTTCTTTCTTCAGTTGAAAAGAAATTAAGGTTTTTGATGAAAACATTCCAGGATTTTTCTCCATATAATGGACTTCAATGGGAACCAAACGTTTCAAGGTCCAAAAGACACTTTCAGTGCAAACTATAAACTGTTCAAAGGGCTTTAAACGATTCCAGACGATGAATAAGGGTCTTATAAAGCGAAACGATCGCTCATTTAAAAAAATAAAAAAGTTTAAGTTTTATAAGCTCGTCTTGCTCTGTTCTATGATGAGCGTTCGTGACTCTCCTGTTCAAACTCGTTCATCAAAATGAACAAATCCTTTTCCGAGTCATTTGGTTCATTCAACGAAGGAAACTAACGAATTGACTCGGAAATAGATCCGTTCATTTTGATGAACGAGTTCGAACAGGAGAGTCACAAACGTGTTCAAACAGAAGGCTACAGAACAGAGCATGGCGAGCATTTGTGCTTATAAAACTTAAAGCTACACTGTGTGATTTTTACCCCCTATCTAGTGGTGAAAAGGTATATGACCATCCAGGGAATATTAGTTTCTGTTCCTCTCAATTCCAATTTCGTTTTAACTCCTACGGGGGCCAAGATTAACATGGCTTCCAGTTCGACCTCGTCCACGAGTGTTAACTCAAACGTAAACGTGAAAGGCGAAGCTTGAATTAACGGGTATGTCCCTCTTTGGCTAATGTACTTTCAAGATGGAGGGGCAACATGGCGATCGACATTAGAACCCCTTGCCCGTATGTGTTTTCAATGGCATATTATACACTCACAAGAATACTTTATTACTTGAACGAACTAAATATACAATAATGTGCACATATATTTTTGAAAGAACTAAGTGTTTTTAGCTAAGAATAAACTAAGAGAGTTACACAGTGTAGCTTTAAACTTTGTTATTTATTATTAAATGAGCGATTGTTTCGCTTGATAAGATCCTTATTCATCGTCTGGAATCGTTTCAAGACCTTTGAACAGTTTGTACTGAAAGTGTCTTTTGGACCTTGAACCGTTTGGTTCCCATTGAAGTCCATTATATGGAGAAAATCCTGGAATGTTTTCATCAAAAACCTTAATTTCTTTTCGACTGAAGAAAGAAAGACATGGACATCTTGGATGACATGGGGGTGAGTAAATTATCAGCAAAAGTTTTTTCAAAAGTGAACGACTCCTTTAAGGCATTGTCAGTGCTAGTAAACACTAGCTCTTTCATTTACTCCCATTACAAGCAATACAGAGGTTTTATAGCAAATAACAATTCTTTGTGAACCGCACCATTCTTCAACCCCTGTGTGTCTGCTTTGTGGTTTTGTTATTCATCTGGGTGTTGACTGACACTTGCAATGTCAGTTGAAGCATGTCAAAATGACATGTTTGTTGTTCTTCTTTACAAAAGTGGAATCAAGCCAAGCCAAACCTCTGTCTCTCTGACCACAACTGAATTTAAAGATGCACATAAGTATATATTTACTCGAAGACAGGAACATAATTTTAGAAAAATCTTTTACACTAATTATTAGTTGAAGAGTCATAATAGTGGCCTTATGTAAGCTGATTTATTGTCCTGGGTCGGCTCGTGGGGGCGTCATGTTGTGTTCACATGACCAGCCAAATACTACTCACTTTTTCTCGGGAACCCCATGTTTTTATTTATTCACTGTAATTATTTGTGGCTGACTGCAAAATAAATAATGGCATTGCATTTGCAGTACCGACTCGAGTAATACAAAAAGTTAACTACTTAAAAGTTTAGGTTCAGTGTAACAGGAATGTAAAATAAAATACGACACAGGAGTGTGCGATCTTCCCAAAATGTCATACCACGATCTTACAACAATCAGTCATGATCCATGATCTATATCACAATCCTCCCAATTTTGAGATGTACTGATTCGAGAATATCCAGAATATGGACTTTTTCAGACACAATTTAAATCACAATATTGCAGTTGTCAAATTAGTCACTAAACCCTGAGTTAAACTCTAAAACACTGCATCATCTTCACTGTATGAATTAAATGTACATCGATTCTTATTTAAAGGGTAACTAAACCCCTCAGAGTCTGACTCCACCCACTGGCAATATTTAAAAATGCTGAAAAAGTGGGCTGATCCCAGCGGAGATAGAGGGGACGAAATAGATGCTAAAACACTATCCTGATCATTTTCAATACTCACAATTCCTGACTCCCTACAATGGTTTTGACGACACAAGATGGTTTTTATATTGCCAAGGGCGTAGCTCGCGTGGTGAGCTGAAACCTGCGTACGTCACGAAGTGCGGAACATCCAATAGGAAAATTTAACTGCAGTAGCCACCGTTCAACCTGAAGAGGGCAGCACTAAGACGCTTTTACACCATATATTGTAGAAATAGAACACTTTATAAACAAATGTCAAAAAAGTTACTCGAATCAATGACTGGTATTAATAAAGATCCATTCTTACAGATCATTAACTAAAAAAAGTTGGTTAAGTGTTTAGTTACTCTTTAAGCCTCTAGTTATTCAGTGAGTAATTTAGTCTGTCTTTAGTTTAACATTAATGACAGACCGCAGCAGTTATTTGCATTAGGTTTTAAGACTGAATGCATGGATCTAATATAATTTCCCAACTGTTTGTTCACTTAAGACGTAACTGACTGTCTTTATGTAAATACTCGCCAATATGGATATTTTGACACATTTTGTGGATATATTTGGGCGCACACCTGATACCACAAGTATACTTTGCTCGTCCGTGTTCTGCTCGCAGCGCACAAAGCGTGTGGGTTCGCAATTTAATACTCTTTTAATAACTCTTAAAGGAGTAGTTCACTTTAAAAAACTTTTGCTGATAATTTACTCGCCCGCATGTCATCCAAGATGTTCATGTCTTTCTTTATTCAGTTGAAAAGAAATTAAGGTTTTTGATAAACATTCCAGCTTTTTCTCCATATAATGGACTTCAATGGGAACCAAACGGTTCAAGGTCCAAATGAGAGTTTCAGTGCAGCTTCAAAGGGCTTTAAACCGGCACAATGATAATTTGGTCTTGATTATTATGTTTGGAAGCCAAAATCGAAACTAAAACTGTGTTCATCGCACAGCCCTACTGCTGTTGAATTGTTTTTTCAAATGCGTCACCACACATGAGACGCATGATATAATTTGTCCAGTCTGCAGTCATCTAATCGGAAGTCATTGCTGTATTGTTACATTATTATGAGAACATTAAAGATCACAATCTCTGCGATTCACTTGAAAAGTAGATCATGGATGTCTTCAACATCCATCCCGATTTAAAGATCGTCGGATCGCCCGCCCCTACCACAAAGAAAACGATTGATTTTGCACACAATGTCGCATCCCTGCTGCTAGGTAAACACTAACCAGTGCAAAATTACTGAGTGCGCCATAGATGTTTTGCGAACAAGAGCTGTAGTTTAACTGCAAAATAAATGATGTAATGTATAACAAATACCAACGGCGAGTGGTTTGGCGAAGCTTTGTTTCCACTTGACTTTTTTTATATAAAATCCTTTTCCTAGTTTTTCCCAGATTAACCTGTTTCCAATTAACATTTCTGTTTGCCTGAACACTAGACAAGCATCCCAAAGAGCATGATTTTACGCATAAGCACTATGCTGACATCATTTCCTCTTTGGCTCGGGTTTGATAAATACCTCACCTAGAAGGTGAATCTATTCTTTTATTAAAGGATTAGTTCACTTTTGAAAAAACTTTTGCTGATAATTTACTCACCCCCATGTCATCCAAGATGTCCATGTCTTTCTTTCTTCAGTCGAAAAGAAATTTAGGTTTTTGATGAAAACATTCCAGGATTTTTCTCCATATAATGGACTTCAATGGGAACCGGATGGTTCAAGTATCAAAAGACGGTTAATAACAGTTACAGATGCAGCTTCAAATGTCTTTAAACGACACCAGACGATGAATAAGGGTCTTATCATGCGAAACGATCGTTATTTCAAAACTTATTCCAAAAATGTAACTTTTCTAAGGACAAATGCTAGCCTTGCTATATTCTCTGAGGCGCGTTTGTAACTACACGTAATACGTAATTACATTCAAAAGGTCACGGGCGACGTAGCCGGAAGTACAGAATCAAAATCGTCCGACATCGTTGTTTTTCCTTTTAATTCCTTTTTTTGTAAACGGTTTGTTTGACTCCGTACTTCCGGCTACGTCGCCCGTGACCTTTTGAATGTAATTACGTATTACGTGACGTTGCAAACGCGCCTCACAGAATATAGCAAGGCTAGCATTTGTCCTTATAAAAGTTACATTTTTGGAATAAGTTTTGAAATAACCGATCGTTTCGCATGATAAGACCCTTATTCATCGTCTGGTGTCGTTTAAAGACATTTGAAGCTGCATCTGTAACTGTTATTAACCGTCTTTTGATACTTGAACCATCCGGTTCCCATTGAAGTCCATTATATGGAGAAAAATCCTGGAATGTTTTCATCAAAAACCTAAATTTCTTTTCGACTGAGGAAAGAAAGACATGGACATCTTGGATGACATGGGGGTGAGTAAATTATCAGCAAAAGTTTTTTCAAAATCGAACTACTCCTTTAAATAGATTCCATTTATCAAGATGCTTGTCAGTCAAAGTCTTTTCACATTCAACATGAAGAATAAGATTTCATTCTGGATGTTGAATGTTGATCTTCTTGCATTTGCATGTTGCAGTGAGCAAACTGTGGGCCTCACTCTTATCATAAACCATTATGTAAATATAATAACTCAGGAGCATTTGAGCTTCATGTTCACGCTACAACATATTTGATTGTTCATTAAGTTATTAAAAGAGAAGGCAAAGAGAAGTGATCTTTCAATGAGGTGCATTTGCATGTGCATTGTTGTGTGAAATGTATATACATGATACAATAACATCTTTTGTGTGCATGAACTGTGTGAAAGAAACTCTGTATAAAGAACCAGAGCCTTGGGGCGGACAAACGCCAACCAAATAGCATAGGAAATATCTATATCAGCCAGACTTCTCATGTAATATTACCCCAAAACCTAGCTCTCCATTTATGCTTTGCTGAAATGCATACCCGCACAGATTTTGTCTACCCACCCATTCCTCTCAATTTACAGTTGTATTTGTGTTGCAAATTTAATGTCTCATATGAGTTTACATAAGGCCATTTTTTGGGCTAATCTCGTAGCGAGGGCTGCCAAGTATCATGAGCAGTGGTTTCCTTCTTCTGCTAGTCACATAAGCAGAAGAATGTTTCCATGAAACCTGATCCGTGAAAGAAGTAATTCTGATGCTACAATAGGAGTTTGTGTTCACTGCAATTCACCATTCACGTGAACAACGACATCTCCATTTAGAGGATTTTTGTTTTATGCATGTGCATGTGTGTGTGTGTGTGCATCAGTGTGTTGGTGGTTTTATAAATGGACATAAAAAATGTCTCCTGCTAATATATGAAGAGTTCAGATGCAAAAGCCTCTAAATGCCATTTGAAATTTTCTTCTAAAATGACCATTTTTATCAAGCTTGTATATTTAAGTTCAGTAATTTCACTTAAATTACAATTAATAGGTAATCTTCATTGCCATTTAAGTGAAATTACTGAACTTAAATATACAAGCTTGATAAAAATTTCAAATGGCATTTAGAGGCTTTTGCATCTGAACTCTTCATATGTCAACCTTCTTAAACAGGCAGATATTCTAACTAACAGGAATGTATACAACATTGAGGCAATTGTTCAAAATATTCTCTCCCACTGACTTTTTGCTAAGCCCCACTCCAGCTTACGTAATGTTGCTGTATTTAAAATAAAAAACACATGTAATAAACACACACATTTTGAGAAAATATTTACGCTCGGAATTGTGAGAAATTAAGTCAGAATAAACTCTCAATTTAGAGAAAAGAGGCAGAGTTGCAAGATATCAACTTGCAATTTGAGAAAGTCTGAATTACAAAATGATATAAAAGTCAGAATTAACTGAGTTCTGAGAAAAACGGCAGAATTACGAGATATTAAGTTGGGAGAAAGATGTTTACTCAAAATAGTGAGGTGTAATCTATGAAAGCTTGTTTCCGCCACAAAATGAAAAATAAAAAAGGTAATTGCGACTTTTTATCTCTCAATTCTGACTTTTTTTTCTCACAATTGCGAGTTTCACATTTATTTCTCAGAATTGCGCGATATAAAGTTGCAATTGCAAGATATAAAGTCAGAATTGATTGATATAAAGTTGCAATTGCGTGTTATAAAGTCAGAATTGCAAGATGTAAAGTCAGAATTGCGAGATATAAATTCTCAATTGTGTGTTATAAAGTCAGAAATGCAAGATATAAAGTCGAAATTGCGTGTTGTAAAGTCAGAATTGTGAGATATAAACTACTCTGAGGGGGTCTCTGTTTTCCCCTTAGAATTAGCCTGATAACTCTCAATTGCGAGTTTATAACTCACAATTCTGAGAAAAGATGGCAGAATTTCGAGACATAAACTAGCAATTACGTGTTATAAAGTCAGAATTGTGAGATGTAAACTTGCAATTGTGAGAGTCAGAATTGTGAGATAAAAAGTCGCAATTCTGTTTTTTTTTCTCGCAATTGCGCATTTATTTCTCAGAATTGCGACTTTATATCTCGCAATTGTGAGATAAAAATTCGCAATTATTATTTCTTTTTTTATTCAGTGGCAGAAACAAGCTTCCTTAATAATCTTTCTCTGATTCATGAGATTTAAAAAGTCCCTGTTTTAAATCTGTGATGGAAATGATCTTCCATAAACATTTAATGAATTTACTAAATAATATTAATTTACTTTTGAGCAAATGTAGGTGTTTTACTGATGGGTTACATGCTCATTTGGGAATATAAGAATAAAAACCTTGTATCTATTATAAGAGCGGCAGCAACAACATTTTACGAGATTTGATCTAAAATTCAATTTTAAGCTTTTCGAACACATGGTTTCCAAAAGCTAACATGGCGGATGGCAACATTAAAGGGATAGTTCACTTTGAAATTGATTTTTGGTATGTTTTATCTTACCTCAAGGGCATCCAAGATGTAGGTGTCTTTGTTTCCGCAGTATTTTCAATTTTTATATTTTTAGGTCAAACCGTTCTTGTCTGTCAGTCATATAATGCAGGTCTATGGTCACCACCTCAAAGAGCATGCACAGAGAAGTCAAAATTAAACATGATTTAATGGCTCTTAAATGTAAGGACACATCGATGGCCTAAGACACATATGTAATCACAGCCACGTCCAAGTGATCTGAAGACGCGGGCGATTCGGTCTGCGCAAGCGCCGGAAGTGATCTCTCGCGCAGTTGCGGAAAAAAATTCAACGTTGTCTGTTGATATATTGCGATTTCCTGTATATCTAAATATGTTTAGATCTTCATAGTGAAAGGTAACGCTTCCGAAATCTGTGTAAATAATGAGTGACGTACACGCGCGAGAGATCACTTCGCAGACCGAAGCGTCCGCGCCCTCAGATCACTTTGACATGGCTGTGGTTACAAGAGGTAAAAACGATATAAATACTGTTCGTTTTCTCACACAAACCGCTCGTTTCGTGTCTTAGGCCATCAGTGTGTACTTACATTAACGAGTCATTAAATCATGTTTAATCTGGATGTGTCTGTGCACGCTCTTTGAGGTGGTGACCATAGACCTCCATTATATGACTGACAGACAAGAACGGTTTGACCTAAAAATACCAAAATTGAAAATACTGTGGAAACAAAGACACCTACATCTTGGATGCCCTTGAGGTAAGCTAAAATATACCAAAAATTAATTTCAAAGTGAACTATCGCTTTAAGGCCGGACTTAGCAAAGGGTCAGTTGCAGTGATTGTCAAACATTCAAGCTCTGCTGGTACAGGCTGATTTGTCATTCTCAGGTAAATAAACACATCATCCCTTTAGCGTTCAGCAAGCTCATTCCCTTCCCTTCTGCCACCTTGCATCGCTCCCTTCTTTCACAATCTAGCCATTCCCCCGACTCAACTGCCAAACCAGACCTACCTGGAGGTGCTGATCTACTGCGTGGGCTTCTTTCTTATCTGTGTGATGGTGGTGACCGCCGTGCTGGCCAAAATGCACAGCTCCACCAAGAAAAGTGACTTCAACAGCCAGCTGGCGGTTCACAAGCTGGCCAAGAGCATCCCTCTGCGCAGACAGGTAACAGAAAGTAGATAGGGGGTTTGATCTCTTTACCACTAAACATAGAAACATCAAATTTCAACAGTTTCTTGTGTTAATGTCGGGGTGTTGTATTTAACTTGATTGTGGGTGTTTGGGGGGGGGGGGGGGTTAACTATAATATTGTTAGAGACGACCTGTTATGCTTTTTTCCATGTTCATCTTTGTTTAGTGTGTAATGTTGCTGTTTGAGCATGAAAAAATCTGCAAAATCCCTCCAGCGGGAGTTATTCTCTAGCCTCTTAGAAGGCCTGCAAAATTTGCCCGAAACGCCTAAAAAAGACCTATCCAAATTAAATTGCATGCTGTTCTTGAACCATTTGGAGTATATGCATGCTTTTGCTCTCTTTTGAAAGGTGACACTCAGAGGTTTGTTCCTAAACAGTCAAAATCACTGTAAGTCTTACTGGTCTTGAGTAATATAACTTTGAACACAATGAAAAATGACAAAAAAATTCCGCCTACATTTTTTTTGTGTAAACAGATGCCTGCAGATAACTACAGCTGGGAGCTATGAGCTAGAAAACACAACTGGATCACAGCATGAAGCCTTACCAAACAGAGTTTAAAATTTGATGATGATATCTAAGAAAATGAGTGTTTTACACATGTTTATCTAAGTGTATATCTAGGCGCTTCCCAAAAAAAGCCACTTGGAGACTCCAAATGACCCTTTGTGATCATAGACACATAAAATGCTGCTATTCTTGAATACTTTACTCTACAGTCATAATTTTGGGCTCTAATGAAAGGTTACATTTAGGGCTATCATATTCCTTAGCCAGATTCACTGTAAATATTGATGACACATAGTAACTGAAGCATAAACACATTATAGTGTTTTTTTTTTCAATTCTTGAAACCAAACTTTCTACAAATAAAGAGACAAAACAAGTGCTATGGTACTAAAACACTTTAATATTAGAACTGAAACTACATATACATACATATATATACATATATATACATATATATATATATATATATATATATATATATATAAATACATATATACACACACACACACACAAAAAGTGTGACGACCTTCAGTGCTGTGTCCAGTGATATGCACAGACTTGAAAAAAGAAAAAGCCAGTTCTCCTCTGCATCTCACCCTCCCCGTCCACTTGTTGTTTAGCTGGCAGAACCTCTCTGGAAAGATAAATGATGGGGCTCCTCTCCTGATAAGGTGCTGTCATTCTGTTCCAGTATGTTGTTTTTTTCTGACTGGCTCCCAGAATTCACTCACTAATTTTCAGATGATGGTCTGTGATATATAAAAAAGGGAAATAATTTACAAAACATTTACATTATATGCGTGTGAATACAAAAATAAACAGAAACACATGCACACAAAGAACCAGGATTATGCAGTTCATGAGCGCACACGCACATCATGAGCTATGACATAAACAAACACGACATAAGTTAGCACATGTAAACACACACACAAGACATGTATGTTTTGCGTGTTTAGCAATTTCAACTCACAAAAAGGCCACATATTAAATAGTGCTGTAACGTTACGAGCGCACACCAGAGAACCTAGCTAGCAGGTAATGCTATGTTGAACACACTCACACAAACACACACGGCAAAAGCTGACACACCTCAACTGAGGCATGTGTTTGTTTTAGTACACCTAAAACAAACACATGTCTCAGTATATACAGTCAAATATGTTGGGCAATATAATAAAACTTACTTTTCGTGACGTGAGTGCCGTGGCCACCATCCAAAAGGGTCCTCTGCTAGTCGTGCTAACCAGACAACAACATCGATTGCTCTCTTGCTCACAAATGTCCTCCCACTCACCACGGTCACGGAGAATACACTGTTCAATCACTTCTTCGAGTAATAAGTGCGTCTTTCTAATTATCTTTGCCATTTCACATCTGTTACCTCCTTTCACTCACCAACGCGTTCAATGTTGTGTTTACGCACAAACGCGCAGAGGATCACTTTCGCTTTACGCATGAAATATAACGTAATCGGATGATTCCAGCCACTAAAGCTGCATTTCAGTCTTTTCAGAAATTCATTGGCTATCAGAAAATAGCGTCATTTCATTCTCTATTGCAACTGGATAGATAAACTGTCACTCAAAGAGAGGTAGGTACAGATTTCACCAGGCGAGCTCGTTGGTTGTTGGAACATTAGAAGACACCCCTAACACTCGCCGATTGGCTAAAATGACCTGTCAATCAATAGTTCGGGGGTCAGCGGCCATTTTGACATACTTTTTTCTCCAATGTTTACGTTTCAACTGAAGTTAGACAGATCAAATAGTGTTAGTGCGTCGAAGTTGTGATAGCGCTGTCGGCTAACGCGAAATGCTACTATTTACATTCCATGGATGTTTATTCATATATACAATTGTTTTGGACTAAAAACTTCTTCAAATTGGATTGTATGGACGCTTTACAGTGAAACCAAACCATTTTTGTTGGAATGTGGACTAACAGATGGCTAATTGGTGAGTTTCTTCCAGTTTGTGTTGGTTTGTTTTGGCTGTTGGTGGTCTGACAAAGAGACAGATTGTGCCCGCTGTGTTGATTGTATCTTAAAATGGTTTACGTCGTTCGAATCACGAGTTTCTCAGCTTTCCAAAGATATGTATTATGTTTACTTTTGTGTTTGTTTTGTTTTGTCTTTCACAAAGTTAAACCTATAAACCACCCTGTTGGCCGTATACGGCACGTCGGACCACAAACAGGCTAGATCAGTGTCACTGTTTCTGAACTTCCTGAAAAGTCTTGAGTTTGTTCCGGGAATGAACACGTCACTATATTCCTCATTTAAATAATTAATCGCCCAAAAATGAATTATTTACACACTCGAAGCGCTCGACCAATCACAACGCACGGATTTAGACAACCAATCAGAGCACAGTCTGCTTTTTCAGGCTTCATAGAGTACAGGAACTAAACAGAGCGTTACTGACAGACTGGGAAGAGAGGAGCCGCAACAATGGAGAATATGTGAAAAATAATGTTTTTTTGAACATTCAAGCATGAAAACCTTGTCCAAAGGAAAATCCAAACTTTGGAAACGGGTTTAATTTTGCCTTTTTCATTTAAAGCATTCGTTTTCATGAAAAAACAAGATTACTTTGTAAATAGATTTCTCTGTGCAGTTGAAATTTCATGGGCAAAAAAGGTGTCAATAGTCTAGCGACGTCTAAAGTGCTTTCAAACCAAGCAGCGCTCAACTTGATCCCGTTGAGAAAACTGCGTAGGAAATCTTTCACCCTCATGAAATTCCTGATCATGTGGATTTCTTTTAAAATGAATTCGCCTGCAGCGATGTTTCAAACCAAGCATCTGTGAATCTACTCGACCAGCATGGGGAAATTGTTCGCTCTCATTTAAAATTTTGGATTGTGTTGATTGCTATTGAAATGACTTTATTTGGTCCACAAAAATCACCAAATATGACCACAACTTCACGAAGATATCATATCGTTTAAAATAATATAATGCCTAATTTAAACTCAAGGTTTCGTGCAGGATACCAATGTAAAACCTCTTTTCTCATTTCTCAACTATTGTTGAGCTCATTATTGATTTCCGTTTTGGTTGATGATTGTTGTATAATATCAATGCGTCTCTCTGCATCAGTGTCCATAGATGCCCCCTGACTAAGTTACTCGCATACACCCATCTGAGCGCACAAGACCACAGTCTTTATAGGTGTGTTTGTGCTGCTGTGTTGTGTGGGGAGTAATTTGTAAGTATTTCCGTGCAGGTGTCGGTGGACTCCAGCTCATCTATGCACTCTGGTGGGATGCTGGTCCGGCCCTCGCGTTTATCCTCCAGTGGCTCTCCGATGCTCTCAGGGGTCTCCGAGTACGAACTGCCCCAGGACCCTCGCTGGGAGGTACAACGAGACAGGTAACACACACATTGTACTCATCATTCCCTAACTAAAGATGCATATATGCTAGGGCTGCATGATTAATCGCAATGAAACGGTTCTATCTGAACAGCAGAGGGTGTCACACACGCCACATATCCATCTGAACACCAGGGGGCGTCTCTCTCTCACATGCCACATATCCATCTGAACACCAGGGGGCGTCTCTCTCTCACACGCCACATATCCATTTGTACACCAGGGGGCGTCTCACATACACACACGCCACATATCCATCTGAACACCAGGGGGCGTCTCACATACACACACACACCACATATCCATCTGAACACCATGGGGGCGTCTCTCTCTCACATGCCACATATCCATCTGAACACCAGGGGGCGTCTCTCTCTCACACGCCACATATCCATTTGTACACCAGGGGCCGTCTCACATACACACACGCCACATATCCATCTGAACACCAGGGGGCGTCTCACATACACACACACCACATATCCATCTGAACACCAGGGGGCGTCTCACATACACACACACCACATATCCATCTGAACACCAGGGGGCGTCTCTCTCTCACATGCAACATATCCATCTGAACACCAGGGGGCATCTCACACACATGCCAAATATGGCCCGCCGCAGAAGTACAATAACACACGTCATTCCAGGAAATCCCTATCGGGCATCACACTATCTGAATTAACAGAAAATTGAAACACTTTGATTGATTAAGTTTGACTAATAAACACACGACTGTCTTATTCTCTGTAAGAAGCCACATCCTCTCACAGAAGGATGCTCAACTGTCGTTATGAAGTGAGTTTGGAGTAAAAGCATGTTAATAAATGTTGTCTTTTTGTTGGACAAGGTTCATAACTGCTTCTCATGTTTGGCGTGTGTTGCTTTTTCAAACGCACATTATAATCGACTCAAACTCAGTGCTTTCAGATGGAGCAGCGTTCACAGAGCCGTACATCAACGACAAGCTGCGCATAACAAATAATCGCAGCCTTTGGAATTTCAGAATCGCGATTAGCCAAATCGGTTTAAGTGCGATTTCATGTAATCGCGCAGCCCTAATATATACACAAATATGGCCTGGCGAACTGTGCAGTGATTGATATTGTGTGTGTGTGTGTGTGTGTGTGTCAGGCTGGTTCTCGGGAAGCCGCTTGGAGAGGGCTGCTTTGGGCAGGTGATGATGGCCGAGGCTATGGGGATGGATAAAGACAAACCCAGTCGCGTCACCAAAGTGGCTGTCAAGATGCTCAAATGTAAGTGTTTTCTGCCACCGTTGTCAGCTGACGTGTGTGTGTTTGTGTGTGGGGAAATATTCCAGCAAACTCTGTCTGGAATTCAGCATCGCATGAGGAATCTGATGGTCCACTGAGCTCTGGTCTGTATCCCACCTTCACCCTGAAGCAAGTTATTTGAGCTCTGGTGTCACATACCGTACCACAGCAGTTTGTTTATTCTGATTCAGGGTCTGTCTGTTTCCTGTCCTCTCCTCGCGAGTCAGTGCCCGGAAACATTAGCAAACATCGGCAACACAAGAGAGTAGTTATTTATGTACTATTATAGTATTTAGGGATGGAACGGTACACAGAAGTCACGGTTCGGTTCAGACATCACGGTTCGGTACAATTTTGGTACAATGGAGGGAAAAGCAAAACAAAAATACAGAAGGCGTTGTATTTTTTAAATAAGTTTTATTAATAAAGGCATAGAACCAGGTTTTTTTGTAGTGCACTGACAATCGTTTTATATAATTAGCTTATTAATTAAATGAATAAAAAGACCTTGCAAAATGTTTGGTAATTGTTCCTGAATTAATTGAAAATTATTTTGATATATTTCAGATCAATATATCTGTTTCCTTAATTTTAATTAACATTATTAATTAACAATGTAACATTATTCTCATCTGAATTATAACTAATTTATTTCTGTATAAAATAATACTACACATTCGATTTTCTTTTTTAATTACGTGTAAGATTAGTGCTCCGAGGACAAGAAATTAAAACCAATGCAATATGACGAATGTCCAAAAAATGGGACCCACTGACTAAATTTAAATGTACTAATTAAATTAATTGTACAAATTAACAGTGTAACAGGTTATAATTTCTGAGAACGTTTGATACCACAGTGTTTTAACATATTACTCATTACTGAGGGTCATTGTTCTCTCTCTCACACACACACACACACACACACACACACACTCCAGCATGATTGCAATCTTGACATCGCAGACTGTTCATTATGCGGTCACATCAAACGTGAATAGAGTGTCAAATTCGCGTCTATCATGTCTAGTTCGACGCTAGTCCAAAGCAAATAGGACGCGCGTATAAAGCTAACGTTTGAAGTGAACGCGCGTTCAGAGCTTTCAGAGCTAGCCGATGGTATAGATTATGTGTCCCTAAAGAACCTGCGTATCTAACAGTAGTTCCGCATTACATTAATTAATTAATTTGCACGCGTGTTTTATTTATTTTTATACCGTGTATTCTCCGTGTAAATTTGTGCACTGAACCGTGATGCCCGTACCGTTTCGGTTCAATACAAATACATGTACCGTTCCACCCCTAGTATTTATTAATATTTTGAATTAGTTTTTTTTTTTTATATATACAGTATATTTTCAGTTTTCATTGTAGTTGTCATTTCAGTTCTACTTTCTGGGAAGGAATTAACATAGACAGCAAAAGACAACAATATACAAGCACTGTAAAATGTTTGGCCACAAACTCGGCTGACTGGATTCTCTCCTGAATGAAACATTGTAAATAAAAACGAATAACAGTTTTCTCTTAGTCTTAAGTCCAAAGTAACTGGGAGCCTCAGCAAACATTGAGCTTGACCACTGTACAGTAGGCTAATTCACAAATGAATGACTCTTATGAACCGATTGCTGAAACTAACTCTCGTGATCCATTTGATTTATTAAATGCGTTCACATTTGACTCACTCACTGAACTCTAATGTATCATACATAGATAGTATTATTCTCCACCGCATTATTAATTGTAAAAAAAAAACAGTGATTGAATTAACCTGCTGAACAAAAATAATAAATGTGTCTGAACCTGTACACAGTTCATCAATACACATTATTCTATAGAAAATCCTAGTAGTGGCTTAGCCTGATTTCAAATTGTCATGCTACATTATTTTCCACAGAGAACTGGGAAATGCATCCGATTATGTTCTGAATGCTTTTTCATGTCATTGTCTTGAATATTAAGTTGATTTCAAGTTCCATGGTCTGTCATACTAAGATATATGGGTAACACTTTACAATACGGGTGCACTAATTTGCATTAATTCATGTTTAACTAATACTCAGATAATGATGAGTTAATGTATAACTCATGAAGAACTAAACCATTAATTAATGATTACTGCATCAGCAAATAATAAAGAGTCTATATGATTAATAGATCAAGTATTACATGAATTGCTATTAATTCAATGTGTCGTTGTGTATTAATTCCTTAATAACATATTTCATGAACTAATAGTGTAAATTAATGTGTTAATTACCACAGTTAGTCAAAGCTATGCACTTCAACTTCCACTTGTCTGCTTTAATTAATGATTAGCCAATGATTTGCAAAGGTATCATTTTGTTATGACTTTACTTGTTGGGGCACATCATTATTAGCTAGTCATTTAGTAATTGTAGTAATTTGCACATGAATTTTCAGTAACAATGAAGTAATTAATCATGTATTAATGCATATTAGTGTACCTGTCATATTATCTGGAAGTTAAAATACAAGGCTTTTGCTCATTCTGGTAATTAACATATTAATTGACACTATTAGTTAAAAAAATGAGTTATTATGGAATTAATCCACAATTACATATTTAATTAAAAACAATTCATGTATGAACTAATATATTAACCTTACATACTCTTAATTAGTTCCTAATGTGGTAATGATTAATGAATAGCTTAAATAATCATTAGTTACACATTAATTCAGTATTATCTGTGCATTAGTTAAGCATGAATTAATGCTTATTAGTGCACACGTATTGTAAAGTGTTACCGATATATGTGTGTTTTACAGCCGACGCCACAGAGAAGGACCTGTCAGATCTCATCTCCGAGATGGAAATGATGAAGATCATTGGCAAACACAAGAACATCATCAACTTGCTGGGGGCCTGCACTCAAGATGGTGAGTAAAGGGTGAATTAAGAAGGCGAGTGGGCGGAGGGAAGCGTTTAGAGATAATGCAGTACGGGCGTAAATCACATTTCAAAATCACTCTGCTTCAAAAGGTTGTCATCAGTCCAGCTGTTGGCTAGATTAATCCAACCGAACTTCCTTATTGAATCACACATTAGTGTATCAAAAACCGTGGCCTCTCCAGTAAAGACTGATCATGTTTCATATGGCCTTTGTCAGGTCCGCTGTACGTCCTTGTGGAGTTTGCTGCAAAGGGGAATCTGAGAGAGTATCTGCGAGTGCGCCGTCCACCTGGGATGGAGTATTGCTACAACCCGGACCAGGTGCCCGTAGAGAACATGTCGATCAAAGACCTGATCTCCTGCGCCTACCAGGTGGCTCGTGGCATGGAGTACCTCTCGTCCAAGAAGGTCGCCATCTCTTCTGTTCTCATAGCAGTCAAATGGCCCGTTTATAATTGTTCCCTCGATTAATGTGCATGTGTGTTTTCACTGTTGTAGTGTATTCATAGAGACTTGGCTGCCCGTAATGTCCTGGTAACTGAAGATAACGTGATGAAGATAGCCGACTTCGGCCTGGCCAGGGACATCCATCATATTGATTACTACAAGAAAACCACCAATGTAAGATCACTTTATTAAAAAAATCACTTTATTAAACGGCATTTTTTAAGTCTTCCATTGCTTTTACTTCTTACATATCCCTTTTCCACCAAAGCATTTTGAGAGCCGGTTCGGAGCTGGTGCCTGTGCATTAGGGCTGTCAATCTTCCTCTATAATACTATTCGAATTCCATTCCTTATTTTATGTAATATTCGAATAATATTTGAATATTAAATGCTCAAATTTATCCTATTATTAATATTTATGATATTACACATTCTTATGGATCGTCAATGGCACTATAGCCTGTGGTTGTTGTTACACGTTCGGCCCACTAGAGGGACATCTAACATTACTACAATAAACATTTAGGGGCTGTTTACACCTGGCCACTTCATGTTTTCTCAGATCGGATAGCTCTGATTTATCAAAACGATTCCATTTACACCTGCTCACGTAAATGTGTTTTTGCAAAACGGATATAAATCCGATCTTCAATTCCCACGCTATATACAGATGTAATGAAGTGCACGTCACCGAAAGCAACAGATTTGAGCTGCATTTTATTGATCATCGGCTAATTTCAAAATCAGCAAAGACAGCAATAACGGAGAGCGGCAACAGAACTGGTAAGATCATTTCGTTTTTTACTTTTAATGAAGATGGTAGTGTTAAGCGTCCGCGACTTACTTTCACTTTGATTTGCGATAGATTGCGGCGCGTTGGCTTGATGAATAGGGGCTCAAATCTGAGGTGACGTGATCGTCATATCGCGTCGGAAGTTCCGGGAGTCTCCCGCATATTGATAGCGTCTCCCTGATGGCCGCAAATTAGTTAAAATCTCCAGGAATCCGCGCATAACATAAATAGCGCGCGGTTAGGGTGACCACCTGCTAATAAGCCCAAGGGGGGACAAGGGGTATGTTTCTGAGGGACAATGTGGGACACTGCTTGGCGCGGCGGTGCCCCCATCCCACGGGCAGACTCTGATAGTGGTTTACCCCTATCTAGAATTGTTACTATTGCCTTACTGTTTGTACATGAATAATTGTTAAAAAAAAAAGCACATACCTTAGCACATACATTAATAATGCCCTATTCCCTAAACATGTGTAATTGCTGATATATGCTCATGAATAGGCCAACCAATGTGTATTTGTTTTTCTAAATAAAATGAATATTTTGAACATTCAATGAATTGACAGATGCACTTCCACTTACGATTTACTTTAGCTATTTAATTTGATTTATTTTTCATTACAATTAATTCACTTTAAATAAATAAAAATATAAAATTATAGGATTAACAGGAATTATAGTTCCTCAACACCACAGGAACAGTTTTAAAAAAAGTCGAAAAAAAGTCTAAACTCACAACTCCAGAGGTTCACGGAACGACAAGGTGTGCTGTCATGACAACAATGAAAAAGTTGAAATCAACCTAGTCAGCAGGTCACGTGGGAGTGGCAACCAGTCTTGGGGAAGTTCTCACTTTCTGAACTAGTTCAAAGTTTAGTTCACACATTTTAAAATGAACTAGTTCAGTTCAAAGTTTGCACAGAAATGTAAGATTTTTCCCATCTTCACCGACCTCGTTATAAAATCCGTTTAAATTATCATATGACGCCTTTGTCGACGGCGGCCGCGGTGCGACACTGGTGGCTTGTGTTGCCAGATTGGGTGTTTTTTTCCCCGCTACATATTAAGCCCTGTTTACGTTGAGTTTTAGCCGGGCTTTCGCCTGGAAGGCTCTATAGAAATCTGGCACCCCATTGAACGAAGTTAAACTGAGAGAGCGTGCGTGCACAGACACCAGAGTGAACGAGTTCACACGTTATTCAGGACAGGCAGTAAAACAATACGTTCAGTTCACCCACAATATGAACGAGTTCATGAACGTGAACGAGTTCAGGCACAACGTTTAGCTGCCTGGGTCTCGAGGATATAGATCTTTTTTTTGAGCAAGCATTGATTATGCGTGACACGGTCTCAATTTGCGGGACGCATGAATATGGCTTCAAACGCTGTGCGCGCACGCGCTACGCGGGACGGGTGGTCACCCTACGCACGGTGCGTGCATGGCAGAGAGGGAGTGAACGAGACCTTGCTAATGTGCCACGCGAAAGCTAGTCCCGCGCTCTCCTATTGTTAATAAGAATGCGATAAGGGGCCGTTTACACCTGGTCACTTCGGAAGTATATATTTATTTTTAAATATATATAAAAGCAATATTCGAATAGTAAATTTAGCGTTCGAATAGTATTGATTTTTTTTTTTTTTTTTTTAAAATATTCGAATTATATTCGAATTTCGGAATTCGTTCCAACAGCCCTACTGCGAGCGAACTAGTTCTTTGTGTTTCGACAGCCAAAGAACCGGTTCTCGGCCAAGAAAACTGGTTCCAAAGCGGCACCAACTCTTTGCTGGACTAGAACCGTTCTTTTACCACGTCATGCTTACGTCGGGGGCTGGGGGGCGGGTCTAGATGTGTTTTAAACATCTTTTCTGACCATCGCAAAGCCAGGAGAAACATTTGCTGAAACATTTTGCAGATGGAGTCCGCCTTTGTAATTGTTATTGAAAACATTATAAGCAAAGAAGAAAACAGTCACAATATAGAACAAATAAATGGAAAGAAAAAAAAAGACACAAGACGGGTATATAACTAATCAGAAAAGATTACATATCAAAGGCTGACATATTTCAATTGTTTTTAAAGCCTTCTTGGTACACGAGTTAGAGATAATCCCAAAGTAATGCTGTACTTGCAAGTGTTTCTAGCTAAGACGTATGGCGACGTAAACAGTGACGTAACGACGTCGTTCGCTGGGCGCTCGAGTCAGTGGAAAAACAAACGGGTTCAAAAAAGATTCGCAAGGCAAGTTGAACCAGCATCAGTTCCGAACCAGTTCTTTTTGGGTGGAAAAGGGGTAACATTGTGTCAAATTAAATGACATAAAATTATATGTATAAGCAAAAACAATGGGATATCACCAATACATTTTGGGGTTTCAGGATTTTTTTAAACCAAAATTTGTATAAAGACGATTGTCAACTATGTTATGAAAGATATAACGGATTTAATTGTTACACCATTTATATGTGGGTAAAAGGGGCATAAAGTAATATTCCCATTTAATGTATCTAATTTGCACATTAATGTGTTCCTGGAGCAATATTTAATGAAAATTTCTTTTTTTAATAATAATAATATCTAATATTTCATAATATAGGAATATTGATGTGTAATTTATTTACATATTCACTTGTTGTGTCTCCCAAAAGTCAAGTCAAGTCAAACTTTATTAAGATCCCTTTTGGGCAATTTGGATGCAGCACAGATAGACAGACACAGACACATGGAGTACATCATAACAGTAATAATAGCAATACATATTACAAATTTCAAAATAGCATAAATATAGAATAAAAAATATAAATACATTTAAGGCATTCAAAAAAAAAAACACGTTTAAATATGTCATTTTGGTGATCAAAGGTGAGTTTTAAGAATTAAAGTTGACTACGGGGGGACTTGTATGATTCTCGTCGTCTTGATTTTCTTTGAATCCTCTCTGCGGGATTGTCACAAGTGCTGGTCTATGATCTGGAACAGGTGATGAGTCGGTGAATAAAGTGGTTGTGTTTTTCACAGGGTCGTTTACCGGTGAAATGGATGGCGCCTGAAGCTCTGTTCGACCGCATTTACACCCATCAGAGCGACGTGTACGTCTGAACATATTCACTCAAACGCTGATACACAATGCCTTTGTCTGTTAATAGTGCTCATTGTGACGGTGTGTTTGTGTGTTAGGTGGTCTTTTGGGGTGTTGCTGTGGGAGATCTTTACTCTGGGCGGCTCACCGTACCCAGGTGTCCCGGTCGAGGAACTCTTTAAACTGCTAAAGGAAGGCCACCGCATGGACCGGCCCTCCACATGCACCCATGAACTGTAAGACTCGTGATTTGACTTGTGTCATGATGGTGTTAGAGATCTTCTGATGATCTTCTGACGTTCCTCCTGCAGGTATATGATGATGAGGGATTGTTGGCACGCCGTCCCGTCTCAGAGACCCACTTTCAAACAGCTGGTGGAGGATCTGGACCGCACACTCTCCATGTCGTCCTGTCAGGTGAGCCGGAGCGTTTCCCGAACTTCTGAGTTCAGTGGAACTGGCGAGCGGCGTTTTGGGAACAGCTTTATAATCTACAAATCAGCTTTCAATATATTACACGACATTTCAGCTGTGCTTAATGAATGAATCAATTGGACAATAATAATTATTTTAATTAATTATTAAAATTATTCCCAATAATTGTGACTATTTAATAATAATAATAAGTAATTAACTAATGATTATTGTCATTGTTGTTATTGTCATTCAATCATTAATAATCAAGTAATAAAACATAAATGATTATTATTCAACCATTAATAATAATAATAATATAATTATCACCATTAATAACATCAATAATAATGAATTGACTAATAATTGATATTGTTGGTTTTGTTATTCAGTAATTAATATCAATATATCAGTATATAATAATAATAATAATAATAACATTATTATTGTAATTGATCAGTAAATAAATAATAACAATGAACTAGAACAACATTATTACTGATGATGATGATGATTATTCAGATTATTACTAATAATAAACCGATAATACATTACCTAATAATTATATTACTATTATTATTCAATCATTATTATGAATTACCATGATTCAATAATAATATAAGTCATAACACATTAACAAATAAAAATATTTTTTATTTATTTACTATTATTATAATTATTATTATTCAATAGTTATTTAACATACCTAGAGCTATGCTGTCACAATCAAAACGCGTTATCCAACAATTCATTAATATCAATAAAAATACATTTAACAAATAATAATAACATAATAATTATTACTATATTATACAGTAATAATAAATAAAAATAATAATTTTTATCATCAATATCAATAACATTAACAAATAATAATAACAATAAACAAGGACGTTATTATTTGCTTTTTATGATTATTATTATTCAGCCATTAATAATAAATCAACAAGAATCATAATTATTATTCAGTCATTAAAAATACCAATAATAATGCATTAACAAGATAAAATAATATAATATTTATTATTTACATTTTCATTTAGCAGACGCTAACGGTAGAAGCAGTGAAGCTAACAGTAGAACGACAATATTTAATCTAAAGCAGTCCATGATTTTTTTTTAATTGTTGTTATTATTGGTCGTTAATTAATAATAATTAATCTAAATAGATTATTATTATTAGTAGTAGTATTATTATTTAATAATAATAATTGTGGTTGTTATGTTAAAAAAAAAGAAAAATGCTCAATTTTGTGTATGTTTTCCATGTTCAGGAGTATCTGGACCTGTCTATGTCTCTGGACCAGTTTTCTCCAAATTTCCCGGACACCCGCAGCTCCACCTGCTCTTCCGGTGAAGACTCGGTGTTCTCTCACGACCCCGGCGCCGATGAGCCCTGCCTGCCCAAATTCCCCCCGCACCCCAACCGCGGGGTGGCGTTCAAGAAGCGCTGAGCTCCCTCTCTCCGCAGTGTGTGACCTGTCTGGATGAACTCACGGAGGACACGCTTTGCCACAGAGCACACACACTTCCGAGATGAAGCGCTCGGGATGGACATCACGTTATGATCCGGCTGGAGGAGAACACACTGGCCGTCCACTGTTCACCGACCCCTTCACCTGTCCTAGGGCACTTGAGCAGACAGTGGTGCGTCATCTGTAGTAGAGAAACCCTTGCCGTCATTGAACGAGGGACGTTGGGAGTGTTTATATTTTCTATTGGTGTTAAAACAAGGACCTTTATTTTGCCTCCGAGACCAAATTCTTAAGAAAATGTATTCCACTAAAACGGCCTGCCCGAATGTATTTTAACAACGGGCAACTCGCAGCCTTTCTTGTAAATACATCTAGAAATGTATAAATATGAATATATATTTACACTCTACCCTTATTTTTTACTACACGATTTGAATTTTGTTGCATTTTTGTACCAGGCGTTTATCTAGAACTTTTTGAAGTGTAGTTTTTTTGTGAAAGTGACCATGAGAATTGTAGATGAACTGATATAATTAAGAGCTGATCGGCGGCCAGTTTTGTTTGGTAATGTTGTTGTGCATCAGTGATGCAGCTCGGCAGAAGTGTCTTAGATCTGCTGCTACTTAAGCTATACGTATTAAAAAGCCTCGTAAGGTTTTCCTCTTCATGTCTTAAAATTATGAATTCGATATGGGCCAAAAATAAGAGATGCCATAAATGTTTCGCTTCGTACGGTAAAACCAACAGTGTAAAGATCTGCAGATCACTAAAAGTTACTCTACAAGGATTACATCCAATAAATGCTGTTCACGAACCCCTTCATGACGCATAAAGAAGCTTGTAAACATCACTCTTGCTGACGAGTTTACAACATAAATTGTGTTTACAGTGAAATTGACTGCAGGTTAGTTGGGGTGATTAAATATTAAAATGCATAGCTCGCGGTGTACATGCCGTCTCCTGCTGAAAGCCGTGTGTAGCTCCTTATTTATAGCGGTGTGGATGACCCATCTTAGCGAGGTGCTATGGCTGTTAGCATTAGCATTAGCAGCGCGACTGGCTCGCCTCCAGCGCCTGATGCATCCACACACCGAGTCCCAGCCAACGCAAAACACAAGCCTTGATTTATACGCTTGGAGAATACGGTTGAAGGTTGCAGAGTATATACAGCCGTTTAAATTGAACATGGTTTGTGATGTTTATGAGGCGGCTGTAGTAAATTTTAATTTGTGGAACATTGCTTTGTTCTGAGAGAGACAACGCGGGTCAACAGATATGGACTTTTGAAACACTGGTTTGCGAGTCTGTTTTCTCCAAACGCTTGCATTACGACTGGGACTGTTCTGTTGCTTTACGGTTTAATCGACGCCATGTTTATAGCGCAAATGCATCAATACATGTATCAGCTTGTGTTTGATATGCAACGGCCTGCGTTGAATTCTTATTCGGAGTTGAAACTGAGTGACATTCATCATTTACACAGAAGGAGCTGTTTGGCACGATGTTGATGTTGCTGTTTGGTGACCGGAGAAATGTTGCACTTCTCTGCGACGTAACTTACAGGGGCTAAAGTCACGCACTATTAAATATTTTTACCCTTAATTGAAACGTAACCCTACGTATAAACTAAATATTTACAGAAGCCGTCGAGCTGGAGTTATGGCTGGACTTGGAATAAAACACAGATTGATTCCCTGACAAGTTCTTTAGACATGTGGTGATGTTGACATTTACTTTTACACGAACCCGATCTAAACGGAGAACTTTTGTGTGCGTCCTCCATGTGCTTGCCAAATAAAATCAATCAATCATAAATGCCATTTCTTGGGTTTTTTTGTTTCAGTAGCCTATTTATTTATTGCTATTCATTTCAAGTACCGATTGGTATGGAAGCTCATTTCCGCCACCAAATAAAACAATTTGAAAGATATATGTGCCTTTTAATCTCACACTTGGCCCTTTTCCTCTCAATTGCAAATTTACATCTTTTTTTTTTTCTCACACAATTGCGAGATGCAAACTTCCAACCCAGACAGCAACATAATGTCGGCCCAGATCCGGCCCACATCTGGGGCCTCGTGTACAAAGACTTGCGTTGAATTCATTCTAAAACATTGCGGACCAACAAAGCTGTAAATGTGCGTACGCACAAAAAAAAAAAAAAAAAAAAACAGATGTATGAATGTCTGCGTACGAAGGATCCCACGCATATTCTCTTTGTACATCTCAATGGGGTATATGCACGCATAAGTTCCGCATTTGACGCAAGGATGCTCGTCTATTTCCGGTTGTGGAGATTTAAGAGGAGGAGAACAGAGGAAAAAGGGATTATGGCAGAGTTCAAAATGTACTGTCCTCCCGTCTTTGAAACGAAACGTTTAGATGTAATTTTATATATAGTTATGTTTATTTAATATAATTTTAAAAAGAAGCATAAACACAACGAGGGGTGTCTGTTTTATCTGTTTTTGTAACTAACGTTTCTTTATTATAACCATGGAGCTAAAATTCAATATAAATTCTCGGTATTGCATTGGACTCTACGATCGGCGGAAGTTATCGAGCATCCTTAATCCTTCACCGGAAATACCGCCGTGCATAGAGCCCATTAACGTAAAATTGAGCGAGCACAACGCCCCACACAGTCTCCTCCCTCAATTCAATTCAATTAATTTAAATATGGTAATAGTCCAATTTAGCAAAAGAAACCTGCACGAATATGGCTAAAGTAACCTGCAAGAAACGAAATTTCACTTAAAATGTCTTCTATGTGAATATATGTGAAAGTGTAATATATTCCTGTGATCAAAGCTGAATTTTCAGCATCATTACTCGTCTTCAGTGTCACATGATCCTTCAGAAATCACTCTAATATGATGATTTGATGATCAAGAAACATTTCTGATTATTATCAGTGTTGAAAACAGCTGTGCTTCTGCTTCATATTTTCATTGAAACCGTGATATAGCATTTTCAGGATTCTTTAATGAATAAAAACTTAAATCAAACATAGAAATCTTATCATCTTTTGTAACATTATATATGCATTTACTGCCACTTTTAAACAAATTCAATGTGTCCTTGCTGAATAAAAATATTACTTTTTATATTATATTTCTTTATATATTTATATTTCTTTTTTTTTACCTTTACTGACCGAATTAATGAAGTTTATTTTTTTATTCCTAGTTAAGCCAACGCTGCCATTGCTAGACGGGTTTGCACATGCTTTATGAATATTTTAATAAGACAGCAACTAATGTGGACTTTTACGTTCCGATTTAAGTAAAACACGTACAAACGCCTGTTGCAACACTACACCAACAAAGAGTATCATCACAACAGTATTTCACACGACTCCTGCGTTATATTCCAAATCTTCTGAAGCCACAATAGTTTTGTGTGTGCAACACCACTTTATTGGCGCTTTCTGTCATTTTTTAGCATGACCGCTTCTGGTCGCCATTCACTTTCACTGTATGGAAAAGAGCAGCAAGAACATTCTACTAAATTTCTCCATTTGTGTTCCATGAAAGAAAGTAAGTCATAACAGAACAACATGGGTAAATGACGACAGGCATCTGTCTCTTCCATCAAGAAACCCTTGCAGCATCAGTGAGAGCGAGAGCGGGAGTGTTAATAGCGGAGGTGGAAGTGTATTGCATTATCTCACACTGGGCGGATGGTCCAGGACAGCTGTGCTCGAGCCTGGAAGTGTGAACTCAACAACATCAGCACAATTTCAGCCTTCAGCACAAAAGTTGAAGGAAATCCAATGTAAGCTGTGTACTTCCAAACATTAAGTGTCACACAGAGGGCGAACATTACCCCGAGTGGCCAAGAAAATCAGAGTATCCTATTAGTTTTAATGTAGTAATCGTGTTATGTGTATTTGTTGATTTATTAATGGATAGACCATGTTTTTAAGTTATTCAGGGATTATGAAGTCAAAACACAGAGGGAGAGTGTTTAAATAAAGGGTTTCTGGGGGGTTTCAGTTGGCGTTAGTATCCGGACAACGTGCACTACTCAGTTTAGCCAATCACAGCACACCGGCCCAAACTAACCAATCTGAGCCCACTGCTTGTTTCTGAGGGAGTGGTTTCATAGACTCAGGATGTAAACCGGTCGTTTACATCTACACTACACGACTACACTACCCTACACTACACTACTACACTACAACACTACACTACCCTACACTACAATACACTACCCTACCCTACACTACCCTACACTACACTACAATACACTACACTACACTACAATACACTACACTACCCTACCCTACACTACACTACACTACACGACACTACACTACCCTACACTACACTACACTACACGACACTACAATACACTACACTACACTACAATACACTACACTACACTACCCTACCCTACACTACACTACACTACACTACACAACACTACAATACACTACACTACACTACAATACACTACACTACCCTACCTACACTACACTACACTACACGACACTACAATACACTATACCCTACCCTACACTACACTACATTACACTACCCTACAATACACTACTACACTAACACTACAACACTACACTACACTACCCTACACAACAATACACTACCCTACTACACTACACTACACTATACTACACTACTACACTACACTACCCTACTACACTATACTACTACACTACACTACCCTACTACATTACACTACACTACAATACACTACCCTACACTACTACATTACACTACACTACCCTACACAACAATACACTACCCTACTACACTACACTACTACACTACAATACACTACACTACCCTACTACACTATACTACTACACTACACTACACTACTACATTACACTACACTACACTACACTACAATACACTACCCTACACTACACTACATTACACTACACTACACTACCCTACACTACACTACACGACCCTACTACCTTACACAACAATACACTACACTACTAACACTACACTACTACACTACACTGTACTCTATAAGTACAACTCTATAAGTACGCTATAAGTACAACTCGTGTGCCATTATCAAGTAAAATCTAAAGTATTGAACGAAACGCTCTTGAAGAAATTATGTAAAAATTAATTACCCATTTAATTTAGAAGCTATATTTATTTAAAGTAGGCCTAATTAAGTAGCGTATTTGTTGTTTTACAATTAGGAAGCTTGCTTTTATGAAATTTTAAAGTAAATCTTACCATTTAATGAAGTAAAATAAGTAGATTTTATTTAAGTTTTTTTGGGTTTTTTTTGAGATATGACTTCCCGGGCTCCGTACCTGAGCAAATACAGTGCGGTGAATCTCTCGATGATCAATGATGGCCGTCAACGGGTTTCGGTTTTGACGCGTGAGACGCACGTAAATTTCGCTTTTGATCTATTATTTCCACACCACAGGACTTGATTTATGTGGGGCCATTCTTGTCTCTCCTTCACCCACTCACGCGCGAATTAAGTGGTCAAGCGTCAAACTAGACGCGAATTTGACGCGCTATTCGCGTCCGATGTGAACGTAGCATAAGAGATTTCTTTCAAAAACACTTATCGACCCCAAATATTTGATGTAGTGTTCATTAATTATAAAGTAATTCGAACACCAATTCAAACCCTCTTCATGAAAAGACAATAATTTTGCTCCTGTTCTGTTTACAATATTATTCAATTATATTATATTCAATTAATTCAATTATATATTATATTTAACCTCATTCATCTGCATCTGTTCATGACCAATCTGATCTCTGTCTGAAACCTCTGATATCTTTACTCTCTGAAAAGGAAATGTTTGTAGATAAAGAGAGAGTATTTAGATCTCGAAACTTTAAACAGACCCAGACCGCTCTCTCTCTCTCTCTCTCTCTCTCTCTCTCATGATTGTTTATTCTCTGAATACTTCATATACAAACCCACATATCACTACTGCATGTGTCCAGAAAATGTTTCTGGTCTATGAGGGTATTTACCTTAGTTTTCGACTGACATGCTTGATTTTGGCAGATTTACTATTTTTGAAACATCTTAATAATAATTTGCAATTTAAATCATCTTTGGATGCTAAAAGAAAGATGAATGCCTTTTGTGGCAAAATGAAATTACTTTCTGTTTTAGAAAAGGCAAAATCTTAACTTTTTTTTTTTGTTAAGATCCCCCGAAAAAAAATCAGTAATTATTAATGTTTGTTAATGTCACAGTGCATTCAATAATGTTAACAGATAGGCCTACATTTTTTGATCTTAAAAAGTATTAGTAAATGTTGAGATTAACATTGATATCTGCAAAAGTATTGTTCATTGTTAACAAATGAAACATTATTGTAAAGTGTTTTTTTTTGTACTTATGAAAAATGAACTAGATCTGCATTAGCATTTGCAATGTGCCAGGTATAGGCTAAATACTTTCCTCAGTTCTCCACTATATTTCTATATGAGAATGTCTCTATCATGATCTCAGCCTGTGTTCATCTCTTGTGTGAGGACTTTAGTGTTATTTCCTGTCTTGTGCCATGTTTTGTAGTTTTTCATGTTGATTAGTCTCTCCAGGTGTGTCTCGTTAGTTCCCTTGGTTACACTCGTGCGTTCCCATGAAAATCAACCATTTCCGTTACCTTGTTAGCCTGTGTATAAATTGCCCTTGAGTTTCTCTTGTGGGTTGTCAGTCTTTGTTTGCTGTACCATGTTCCTCTCCTGAGTTTCTTTGTTTGTCCTGAATTGTTAAAGTAGGTCTAGAGTGTGGACTCTTTCTCCGCTTCGACCCTGCCTCCCTGTCACAGTCTCTGGCAGACGCATGGGTTTTGACCTTTAATGTAGGTGGGGTGTGTTTTGGGTCAGTGACCCTGTGTGTGTGTTTGGCTGCACTGCTCACTGAGTCTATGTGGAACTGAATCACTGGTGGAGAAATGACAGAAAG